TCTTAACTAGGTCGCGACGTCTCAGACCAAATTAGGACGTCCTAAAGATGTCCAAAAAAGACATCTTTGTTAGGACGTCCTAGTGACGTTAACATAAAGACGTTATCAGGACTTCCATATTAGGACGTCCTATTAACGTCCCTAAGACCTTCTTTAGACGTCCTAATTACCTTGGAAATAAGTTGCCTCAAAGACGTTTTCAATAAAAATTTATATTAAAAGAATATAACTTAGCGCATAAAATATTATGCGCTAACTCGGTTAATTAAAAATGTCTGCATTGTTTGGTTGATTAATTTGATATTATTAATTTTGTTTAGTTATTTATCGTTTAAAGATATTTTTCAATTCTCTATATTCTATACTCTATGATCTATAAACTATAATCTATACAATTTTTAAATAAAGGAAAATTGAGTTTAGTTATTAAGTTTAAATAAGTTGTATATATTCTTTAATTTGTTTTATCATTTTTAAAGACTTTTATTTGATTTAGTATTGTATTTTTTCACTCAGATTTTTAAAACTTGGAAAAAACCATAACAAAGATATATATAAATGTGTGTATATATATATATATATATATATATATATATATATATATATATATATATATATATATATATATATATATATATATATATATATATATATATATATATATATATATATATATATATATATATATATATATATATATTCCTTCTATAGTAGCAATTATATAATTATTTGTTGTGAGATAAAATATCATAGTAAAGAAGTCAATTGACCAGAATTTAAATGTCTGCTTTAGTCTACCTAGTTTTGAGTATCCTTTTTTAGATATCCTTGTAATGTGGTCTTTCTATTTCAGATTATTACTTATATTGATGCCTAGGTATCCTTCCTATGCTGTTTTATTCAATTTGATGATTTTTCCCATCACGGGTTGTATATATATTTATTTATATGTTGTATATATATTTATTTATATGTATATATATATATATCAGATTATTACTTATGTTGATACCAGGTCTTGTTACTGTGTTGTTTCATTTAATTTGATGATTGTTCTATTGTGGGTTTTATTTATAATATATATATACATAATTTATATATATATATATATATATATATATATATATATATATATATATATATATATATATATATATATATATATATATATATACATATATATATATATATATATAAATATATATATATATATATATATATATATATATATATATATATATATATATATATATATATATATATATATATATATATATATATATATGTATATTATAATGTTTACATGATGCATACATATTTATTTTATATATGTGTGTGTGTGTGAGTGTGTGTGTGTGTGTGTGTGTGCGTATTGATCAGTGTTATATACTGTTGGAAATACAGCTCTAAAAGGAAAAAAAAAATTTAGTTATGCTATATCGCTTTGATTCGGTCAAGTGTTGCATATTTGATGTCAGATGCCGTTACAAGGCTAAACTTGTATTTTTTATAATGGTTTTTTATATATGTATGTATTTATGTATGTATATATACATGTACACATAAATTATGTTAGTGTATTCTACAAATAGAGTGATGCCTGCAATATTCTTAAAGAACAGAGCAATCAGGGCTGTGGAGTCATGGAGTAGGAGTTGCGACACTGTTAGTGGAGTCAGAGTCGCTAAACAAACTCGCGACTCCGGCTCCAATAGTAAAACTTCTCGGTATTGCATGTTAATGTACAAAATATTTAACCTTTAAAGAGCTTTTCATATATTTGACAAAAAATTTTTTTTTATTTATTTATCGTGTAATATTTTTTAAAGAACTCAAAGAAATGTTTATTCAATTTTTATTCAAAATTCAAACAAGTTTTGCTTTGGAGTCAAAGTCGTTCTCTAAAAATTTCAGCAATTAAAAGTTGGTACTTTTTTTTCCCAACTCTGCATGCCTGAGAGCAATAATAAATTTGTAATAAAACTTATCTAATTCTCTTTGTCACCTTGTTTTTCCATCAGTAGGTTCATCAGGAAGCTTCCTGATGAACCTACTGATGGAAAAACAAGGTGACAAAGAGAATTAGATAAATGATTTTACTAATTTATATATATATATATATATATATATATATATATATATATATATATATATATATATATATATATATATATATATATATATATATATATATACATACATAGATATATATATGTTTGTGTATAGGTAGTGATTCTTTACAGTTATTGGCGTTAGACAAAAACATTATAATTTTCTTGAACTATACTTGTTTATATCTTTTTTTAAACATGTTAAACAAACAAGTTAAACATGAAACTTGAGATTTTTTGCATTATTCAGTTTAAGTTTACCTTTTCCAACCATTTATAGAAAGTACTATTTACTACTTTATTTATTTTGCATTTTTCAGTAATTTTCTTTTTACTTATAATATACTATTGATTATACTCTACAAAAAATATTAGTTTTGAATTTGGAA